TGGATATGGAATACTGAAACTTCAGTGCAAGGGGAGGGTGATCGTCCTTTGTTACCAGTTATCACAATGATAGTAAACTTTGATTCAGACAATAAGGCGATGCGAATGTGATTATTGCAGTGTGGCAATTTCTTCAGAGCAGATTCCGCTAATAATGCTTAGCACCAGAGTTCAGTGAAGAAACCATTTTTTATTAAACCTGAGAATGACTGAATTACTGTAAGCGAAAAGCGTACGATACACCGTAAAATGTACAGGCTGCTTCAGATGACGAAGGTACTGGTAGCCAAAATAAGTAAGATATTCTGGTCACTGCTACGTAAGTGATTTCGGACTAAGAAAAAACATTTTTGCAGCACTGCTTAGAACCTTACAAAACGAGAAGAATATTTTATTAAAAACTATGGAATACACAGAGTACATACAACAACCAACACAATACTGGTTTGCCAACTCCGGCCGGTTCTTTAAAACTATCGGTTTAGCATCACGCTGCTCAAGGAATTAATAGCCATAAATTGGAAGTCATTGTATACGTCAGCAGCTAGCCAAGCGGTTCTGCTGCAGTGAACAATTACCCTGTCAGCCGCTTGGAGGTTGGTCTGCATTTGAGGATGAGACGCACTGCTGTCCGATTGTACATTATCTTCCATCGAAAATGAAAAAAACTTGACGCTACAAAGGTACATTGACAATGAAGCCGTTATCAACGATGGATTGGCGTTGATATGCGTATTCTTTCAACTTTGCAACCAATTCACATTCACGTTACACTTCGTACCTGAAGCTGGCAACATATTACTGGTGAACGTGGACTGAATTCGCATTTCTTCCGCATTCATCCCTCTTCTTAGCCGTAGCTTTCTCCGTCCAACTATTCGCAGAGTTTGTTCACATGCGATATATAAATTTTAATCAATCTTTCAGCACTGTTTAGTATGATGCAGCCAAGAGTGAAAATAACATAGTCATCTAAACTGACCATCTTTTCCACAAAACAATAACTTTAGGCACCATGCAGTGACCATTATCGCTTTTCCCATCATCTGGACATTTTAATCCGACACAGAAGCCATCATCAGAGTTGTTCACCAAGCAACGATAAATTAGTTGTTTGTTTTGTTTCAGATTTTCATAAACACTGACAAATTGCTTTCATCAGAAAAAAGAAAGGTGTATACTCCATAGGAAGTCGCAAATTTCACAATTTCGCGGTTTTCATTGTGGCGGTGGGCGGCAACATCTCCATTTCGATTTCGTTGCTGCAATTGCGGATAACATCTTATATGCAGTGAAGATTTTACATCTATCTCATGGTTCAAATTGCTGAACCAAAAATTCTGACCCGCAGAATCTTAACATCTGCAACGAGAGAGAAAATGCATTGCCAGAATTGAATAATTTTCACAGACTGGTCCAACCTACCAGCGGAGTTCGGCAGAGATATACTCTTCATTGCCATTCGGCATCATGGCTGAATAAGGAACGAAGAAAACAACATTATGGTACAGTGTAGACGATATGCCTTTCCAACTGAGTCGCAAATTTTCTTCTGGCTATGTCAGAAAGAAGCCGGACTGTCCATGAGTATTACACTTTGAATAAGCCAGAGAATTCTTCAAATTTTGAATGAAGTTATCAACTGCAAACTTCAAAATAATCAGTCGTCCAGCGGAACACAAAAAACAGTTTAAAACAACAGCCACAGGATACATTAGAAAACTCTTGAAAAGCGGTCTTGTCGCAAATAGACACAAGCATTGGGGACACCAGAACGCGAAATAAAACAGGAAGGGTTAATCAAAATAACAAAAAACTGCTGTCTTCAGAACTTTCTCGACTGAGTTCTGCTATAGACTAACCAGACTCCACTGAGGTAATCTGCAAATTTTCTTAGTGTTCCGGCGACGTTTCAGATTGGTTTTGATGAAAGCAACGAAATGGTCAACAGCATAGAGAAGTATCCTCGCCATTTCCATTTTTCCCAAGCACTAGCAAGCAGCAAAATTCTGTACATCACATTGCCAACCTTTGGTCAGAGGATGATGTCATCGTTGTACCAAAAAACAGTGATAAGAACCGACAAAATTTATCAAAAGTACTTTCGAATCTGAAGTCATGCTTACGCATATTAATTACAAATACATTACACTTACACAAAATTGCAACAATAGGGAATCGCTTGTGAAAACCTGGTAGATTTACCCTACTTGACAAACTTGTCTGTGTTACGGTAGCTTGTCTGATCTCTGAAAATAAAACCAAATAAGTAAAAAAAAGTAGTCGCAGTGTTACAGAGTACTTCAAACAGTCGCCATGCTTCTTGTATTCCAAAACTGTATTTGGTGGAAGATTCAAAACACGGCGCATCGTATCGCGAATGCGATTCGTAACACCCTCGTTGTTAGCCGTCCGATTCCAAAGAGATATTATATCCTCCTATAGAAGCAATTTGTTATTAAAATTGAAACTAGGCGAATAATAAAATCTAGAGACATATCACAAGAAAGGGAGTACAACAGAAACATCGAGTTAATCACCTGATTTCTTATAGAACAAACAGCTCCACAAATTTCGCTTCCGACCATAAACTGTTCTCCCAGCATGGCGAGGATAAGATCTTCCCATATTCTTGATGCCAGCCCCTTTTTTAAACGTACCATCCATTTGCCACCTTTTTGATTAAGTTTATCCTGAAAGTCAAAAACATTTTTCTGCCGATCATTCAAATGATTGATCAGCGTCACTTCGTACCTCCCAAACAGGCTGAATGCCACGCTTAAAAACGTGAAAATCGATTTTTTGGGTGACGTCAGATGGTCGGATAAGGTAAGAATAGACAGTCCAAAACTGTTCCACCTATAACAACGCTTTTAATTCACAAAATAATCTTAGAACAAGTAAAGAGGAGCAGAAGCATGATATTAAAATCAAATGTAACTGTCAAAACTCTAGGATCATGTTCCAAAGACATTTACTGTTCATTATTTACTGTCTGTAAAGTGTGTCTTCAGCAAAACGCGCTAAGCATTTCCTTCCTAATATTATACCTACTCTGAACGTCGCTGAATGAAAATAATCCAAATTCTGCATACGCTTTTGCTCTGATTGCTATGCATATTTAACTCTGCTACTAGTCAGCTTCAACTGGAAATATGACATTGTTATTACCATTAGGAGTGTGAAACTGGCATCAAGACTATTGCATGAACCTACTATGGCGTCAGGCTGTTCCGTAAACCTGAGAACCCTCTGAAGCAAACACAAGTTTTGAGAAGATTTCTGTCTACATCCTGCATCGTTCAGGTCACGGATCCAACAGCAACGCCTCCACACAAAACAGTGAAAGCACGAAATTTGGGACTCTGCGAAATGGCGCTCGGGTTAAAGAGGTAGATTTCTCCTAATCTGCTCACAAGCACCGGAACAAATAATTCCGGTGTCTCTGTAATGTCTCACATAATCGTGTTTAGGGCAGACACTTCCTACGGTACCCAGTGTTTCACAGTCTCTTCACCGCCTGGAATGAGGACACATGCCTGAAGAGCTTCAAGCAGATACTTCTCTAAATTAGGTCATAAATTTCACAACGGCCTTCAACCCATTTCTTCTGCATACTTATGTCTATAGCTCTCGAATATACTCTTCCGTATATCTGTACTGTCTGCACCTGTACAACCTGACAAAACAGCATTCGCCTTAGAACCAATGCCAGTATCCAGGTTCTCATAAAATTCGTCATCAAAAAGGAGGATGGGGCTAATACACAAGGCTCAGCTTTACCTCCATGTGAACTGTCACCATCAGAAATAGGATCGTTGCGAATCTTTCACCGGACTGGACAGCAGTTGGGTACCCTTTAATTCATACACATTTATTTCAATAAACTATGCACGAAACGTAAATTTAAACCTGTGCCTCGTTCTATTCGAAAAATCTTCGAAATACAGTTCATGAACCATGCAGTTATGTATTTACAACGGAAAGAGAAAAGTCAGCCATTGACAAATCGTTCCTTTGACTACCAACCAGTAAAGCATTCTAACGACTGAGTAATCATCATTAAATAAACAATCTTTCCGAAAAGTAACTTTTATATTGTGCCCAGAGTAACAACAATTTAAAACACTAACCGTGTTGAAAATCACTACCGGCTTCACAAAGATTGCATACTGTTCCGGATCAAATTTTCCTAATGGCCGTTTGAAATAGGAAATGCAGTACGCATGTTCGAGATCATGCTCTTTTTCGTTCTGTTTTTGCAGAACCTAAAGTACAAAATTTTTTACAGTAATATGAACACCAAACATATCTTACCAGAGGCATCTTGAAAGGATGAAAATCACCTAACGATGCTGCAGTAACCTTGTCCGCATTTATATTTTTCGCAGTTGTTAATTCGACACTCGGTTCTACACTTTCTTCCATAGCAAACGTAATCTGCAGTAAAATTTTAAACATTGACATAAATCCACTACCTCACAACAGTACTATGAGGTGCGAGCATAGCCAACAGTGATAATGGTGAAACAAATGAGAAGGGGGACATGCTGTGTAAAGATTACCTGGCTGAACAAAAAAGACGGATGTTTAAATGATCACCTATAAGAATAAGCAACATAGCTCATGTGAAACATGTGTCGAGCTGTCGCAGATGACTGCCGTTGCTAAGCTATTCGATTCCGCAGTGGACAACAGGTTTAAACGAGAAAGGGCAGCAGCAACTGTCCATCATGCGCAGTACTGTAACCTGTAACAAGTACTCCGTTTCTACGTTATAATTAACTAGGAGCTTTTATTTTTGATAGTCCAACTATAGCAGATCCACGAAGCTTCCAACAGCCCTGACATGACTCGGCTTCCAAGC